CAATCCAGCCAGAGTGTCCCAGAGTCATCTAGCCAGGGCAACCTCTGTGGTCATCCACCTACATGTCTTGGGGTCCCGACCCTTCGCTTCTACTTTACAGAGAAGAGGTGTCACCTGTGATTTGCCATCTGGGTGCTACTGAGTGACAACCAGTGTGTATTGTGTGTGTGAGACAAAGAAAGCTAGCTGGAGGGGTCAGCTGCTTCTTTCAGGGAAAGCCATTCAGTTCATGATGGTGGCTGTGAAGGGGACTGAGGGCAGAAAGGATGAATGTGCTGGGGTGGGACTCTTCCCTTTAAGATTTGCCGGAGGTCGAGGTTGGGCCTCCCCAGGGCAGGCCTGCCTGCTCCCTCATGGGCCATGTGTGACCTTCCTGCCCTAGAAAGGGGAGGGGAGACCCCTGCACAGACACTCAGACACCCCCAGCCCACCCTACTCACTCCCACCTTTTTAGTCCTTCCTTTTTCCATTTTCCTACATATTCACCCTCTTTCTTATATACCTAATAAGTTTGATGATGAAGCCAATTAAGCATTGGGAAAATCACATGATATTACACTCATCACTAGCTCCATCCAGTATCATCATTTTGCCATATTACTTTAAGAAATGAAGTGCTGCAGGTGGCTGAGATGCTCTACCTGTGCATACCTCCATCTACCTGTGTGTACCTCCACCCACCTGTACACACCTCCACCCACCTGTGCACACCTCCACCCACCTGTGCACACCTCCATTCACTTCTCTTCCTGAGAACTAAGATGATTAACCCTATACTGCATCTTGGAGTCATCTATTTTCATGTATGTATCTACAAACACTCAATAGTACAATTTTGCTTAAACTTCATATACTCATCTCACATGCTAGTAAAGTAATGCTCAAAATTCTCCAAGCCAGGCTTCAGCAATACATGAACCGAGAACTTCCAGATGTTCAAGCTGGTTTTAGAAAAGGCAGAGGAACCAGAGATCAAATTGCCAACATCTGTTGGATCATAGAAAAACATCTATTTCTGCTTTATTGACTATGCCAAAGCCTTTGACTGTGTGGATCACAATAAACTGTGGAAAATTCTGAAAGAGATGGGAAGACCAGACCACCTGACCTGCCTCTTGAGAAATCTATATGCAGGTCAGGAAGCAACAGTTAGAACTGGACATGGAACAACAGACTGGTTCCAAATAGGAAAAGGAGTATGTCAAGGCTGTGTATTGTCACCCTGCTTTTTTAACTTACATGCAGAGTACATCATGAGAAACGCTGGACTGGAAGAAGCACATGCTGGAATCAAGATTGCCGGGAGAAATATCAATAACCTCAGATATGCAGATGACACCACCCTTATGGCAGAAAGTGAAGAGGAACTAAAAAGCCTCTTGATGAAAGTGAAAGAGGAGAGTGAAAAAGCTGGCTTAAAGCTCAACATTCGGGAAACTAAGATCATGACATCTGGTCCCATCACTTCATGGGAAATAGATGGGGAAACAGTGAAAGCAGTGTCAAACTTTATTTTTGGGGGCTCCAAAATCACTGCAGATGGTGATTGCAGCCATGAAATTAAAAGACGCCTACTCCTTGGAAAGAAAGTTATGAGCAACCTAGACAGCATATTAAAAAGCAGAGACATTACTTTGCCAACAAAGGTCCGTCTAGTCAAGGCTATGGTTTTTCCAGTGGTCATGTATGGATGTAAGAGTTGGAAGAAAGTTGTGTTGGAAGTTGTTGAAAGTTGGAAGAAAGAGAGTTGTGAAGAAAGCTGAGCGCTGAAAAATTGATGCTTTTGAACTGTGGTGTTGAAGAAGACTGTTGAGAGTCCCTTGGACTGCAAGGAGATCCAGCCAATCCATCCTAAAGGAGATCAGTCCTGGGTGTTCACTGAAAGGACTGATGCTGAAGCTGAATCTACAGTACTTTGACCACCTCATATGAAGAGTTGACTCATTGGAAAAGACTCTGATGCTGGGAGGGATTGGGGGCAGGAGGAGAAGGGGATGACAGAGAATGAGATGGCTGGATGGCATCACCAACTCGATGGACATGAGTTTGAGTGAATTCTGGGAGGTGGTGATGGACAGGGAGGCCTGGCGTGCTGTGATTCATGGGATCGCAGAGTCAGACATGACTGAACAACTGAACTGAGCTGAACTGAAACTTCAAATACTGAGTGTAGTTTGTTTCACTTTTTTTTTTTTTTTTTTTTTGCTTTTATGAAAACTTGTTTGAGCTTTTGCCTGTGTGTTGATGTATATAATCTGGTTCTTTATCTTTCTTTTGTCTTTCTTTTTTTTTTTGGCTACGCCGGGTAGGTTTACGGGATTTTATTTCCCTAATCCAGGATTGATCCCATGCCCTTTGCTGTGGAAATGCAGAGTCTTAACCACTAGACCACCAGGGAGGTCCTAGTTCATTCATTTTAACTGCTGTGGAGTATTCTATACCTCCATTTATCCAATATTGCCAATTGGTGGATATTTAGGTGCTTATAATTCAGTTTTGTTACAAACAGCGGTGTGGCCAATATTCTCATCTCACCCAGGGGTGTGGGTTTCTCAAGCATGAGAGTCTGTGTCTCTATAAGGTACCACAGTGCTTTCCAACGTGCTCGCAAAACATGCCTCCAGCAACATGTGAGCGGTCCTGTTTTCCCACATCCTCGAGGATTTGACATTGTCAGACTTGTAATGTTTGCCTCTGGAATGTGTCTCAAAGGAAATCCCCTTATCTCCTCTTCTAAGGCCCCAGTGCTTCCAGAAACTCCACCTACAGCCTGCACCCCAGTCACACACAAAGGGGATGGTCTTGTCTGGCCTCCCATCCCCTGACCTCTAAGTGCTGAGAGTGCACCCAGCTGTTTGCTGGGGCCCCTCTCCATCCCCCCCCCCACCCCCATAGGTCGTCTCTCCTCGTCACAGTGGCCTATTCCAGTGACTTCCAAATGTTTAAGTTGTTCCACCCTTCGTATTAGAAGTCACTTAATACATTTAATTGATGACCAACAAGCAACTCAGTTAAAACTTAACCTGTGCAGTGTCCAGCTGGGTTTCTTCCTCAAATCTGATCCTTCCCCATTTTTTCCGCAGTGAAAGGCACTATCATCTATTTAATTGCTCAAGCCAACAACTTAGGAGTGGCCTTAAGACTTCTCTCCCCCAACACCCACATTCAATCCACCTATCAGTTTCCATGTCCAGTGATTCCTGGATTTCCCCCCTTCTCTCTGATACCACTCTGGTTCACACCACCATCGTCTCTTGCCCAGACCATTGCCGTTGCCTTCTAACTAGTTTTGCTGCTGCTCCTTACAAACCCCATGTAGCCAGCAGCCAAGGGGATCTTTTTAGAACAAAAAACAAGTAAAATGGCCATTCCCCTAGTAAAGCCCTCCAATGGTTCTCAGTTGAAAATTCAAATCCAAGGGTACTGTAATCTAGAAGGTGCACAAGGTCTGGTGGCAGACAGACCACAGCCTCCCACAAACTTCCCTCACCTCTGGGACTCTGTGTAGAGGGTTCCTCCCCTGATCTTTCCTTGGCTCCCATGACATTCAGGGCTTCATCACTTCCTCAAAGACCTGTCCTGACCGCCCACCGTAGCTCAGGTGACCCTTTAGCTGCTGCCTACAGCATCACTCAATTCTCTTTTCGTTCTGTAACTTCTCGATGCTAAGTGCCGTCATGGAGTGCTTAGCATGAAGAGAGCAGCCATAACATTCTGAATGAATGAACAGATGAGGGTCAACATTTTGGTACAGCCTATAGATTCAAAATGAAATTTCTTCCAGAGTCTGGGTGGGATAAAAGCTGCTTGAGGCAAGACGACAACATCTTTAAGCTAGAACAACGATTCTCAAGCATTTTATCCCCGGGACCCCTTTACACTGTGAAAAATTATGAAGGGCTTGATGTGTGGGTTACGCCTACAGATATCTACTATATTAGGAAAGAAATAATTTAAATGTTTGTTTTAAAATATTAATTGGTTTCCTGTTGACATAAGTAATATTTATATGAAAACATCTGTTAATTTAGCTGCTAAGTTGTATCCAGCTCTTTTGTGACCCTATGGACTGTAGTCTGCCAAGCTCCTCTGTCCATGGGACTTCCCAGGCAAGAACACTGGAGTGGGTTGCCATTTCCTTTTCCAAGGGGTCTTCCCAATTCAAAGACTGAACCTGTGTCTCCCGCAGTGCAGGTGGATTCTTTACCACTGAGCCACCTGGGAAACCCCACATGAGAAAATAACTACATTTTTTAAAAAAATGAATGAGCAGTGACACTTTGAGTAGCTGTTCCACAGATCCTGGTTAGCATCATGAAGAGTCTTTGAATGAGTGGACGTGGGGAGGAAGCGGGGGCTCAAGAATTCAGACCAAACTGCAGGGTCAGATGTAGCTTCTTCCCAAGCGTGTAGGCAAGGCATGCAAGACCACACAAGCCTTCTCCAAGAAGAAGACATGTTTCCCCATCTCTTCCCCTGCAGCTCCCTGGCTGCCCGCTCACCCACTCCTGCCCCCACACAACCCTCTCTCTTCCCTTTCCCCGAACAAGTCATTGGAAGTTGATTTGTCAACTGTGTGTATCTTTGAAATAGACATCTTTCTGTAACCAGAATAAGGATGGCATAAAGTTTAACCCAGGGCATCCATTTTGACTGTTCACTTTGACAATATAAATATTGAAGCCTTGTTTCACCAAGATTTGTTTATTCCTCTTTGTATTCATGTTGAGAAAGCAAACTGGGTGTCATATTTTTTACTTTATTTATGTCATATTTTAGGGTGATACCGAAACCTAAGTTCTTCCTCTTTCTCAGAAGCTGCCCCCTCCCTGTTTCCCCCCTTCTCTGGGTGAAGGAAATTCACAAAGCCAGGATTTAAAAAAAAAAAAAAGAAAAGAAAAGTGGTCATCTCTATGCTCCTATTGAAGTGGCTGACGCTGCCCAGCTCTGGGCACGCCTCTTCCACTTCCTGACGTCACACTATTTTTGTCTTTGAATAGCTCATTGACACAATCGCCTCGGAGATCGGCGAACTGAAACAGGAGATGGTGCAGACAGATGTCAGCCTGGAAAATGGCCTGGGATCCACCGAAGCCCACAGGTGACCGAGGCGATTAGGCATCGGGGACGCGATGGGGGCAACGTGACCCTGGTAGCCGTGGGGATAGCTGTTCCGGTCGCCTGGCAGGTTTGGGAACTGGGGATGTGGTGGCCACTCCTGAAGAATCTTCTGTAGGAGGTGGGAGTGGCCTAGGAACCAGTTGTCTGGGTTCATGTTCATCCCTCCGAAGGCACTTGAACTTTACACCTTCTCCATTCCTCTTGGCATCAGAACCCGGAAACCTAAAGTTCTGTCTGCCACCTCCACCTTCTCACAGTGATGGAAACAGTAACGCAGCGGGAGCCTCCGTGTGCAAAACAGAATTCAGTGTAGCCCGTGTCTGTCTCCAGAAGGTTTAAAGGGAGCACTAAAGAGGATGGACTCGTTTTGCATTCTCAGGTCAGAAAAAACCCCAGCACCTTCCGTGGCCTTTAGCCTGAAATGTGACCCAGCATATTGGAAATTGGATGTGGTTGTAAGTGATGAAGAAAGGCACTGGTTACCTGTGTTACGTTGTGTTCATAACGCAACAAGGTCTAAGTAGGTAGTTAAGGACTGGCATTTTCTGCAGAATGAGGATACAGAGGTTGGGAGCGGGCAGGCTAGAGGAGAGTCCCCAAACCTCTTTCAGTTCTTGGAAGCTCTAGTTCTTTGCAAGGACAGGAGGGCATAGTCAGTAGAATATGCCATGGACACTTGGTGCCTCAGAGACCAGATTCATTAGCAGCTTCCCCTTTTTCTCAGGAAATGGAGTTGAGGCTGCCTGGTGCATTGCGAGGGTGAGATTTTTGGAGTTGGTTTTGCTTGCGAGTCATGAGCTGGGCAGGAGGAGTCCTGCAGAGGCAGGCAAACCAGGTGAATCTGGTTGTCTGGGCAAGTTTCGTACCAGCCCAACTTGTTCCTGTTGTAGAGGGAAAACTGGCCGACCCAGGGAGGCACCCCGCCACCCTGCAGCTCAGAGTCTCTGCGTCCACACCCTGAGTCTCTGGAGGAATGTGTCCTCCCTTAGCTATGCAAATACTCTGTGCTATCTGTCTTCTCTCCTTTTATACAAAAAAAAAAAAATGCTGGAGGTAGACCAGATGGTCCTCCACTTTGCATTCTGTGACTTCCCCTTGACTTTGGTATGAACAATTTTGATGGGTTCATTTTTTCCCCCATAAACTAGACAAATCCACAATGATTTTTTTTGGTCAGAGATTTTCTGCCCCATGTTCAGTGTAGTTCCAGACTCCATGGAACTTTTAGCCAGGTTTTTCCTCTTCACCTTTAACATCTCCTTTAAGGTTTTTAAATTTAAGAATGACTATAAACATTCCACAAAAACTTTTTTTCTTTTTCATGTTAGTGTCAGTTATTCTTGAATGCTACACTGGTTGGTACAGAATTTATGAATTTTAAAGGCTTTTTAAAAATGGGGAAACAGGAAAGTTGAGATTATTTTTTTTAATTTGTTTTTTAATTGAAGGATAATTGTTTTACAATTTTGTGTTGGTTTCCACCAAACATCAACATGACTCAGTCACAGGTTTACCCATGTCCCCTCCCACTTGAACAGCCATGGCACCTCCCTCCCATCCTACCCCTCTAGGTTGTTACAGAGCCCCGTTTGAGTTCCCTGGGTCCTACAGAAAACTCCCCTTGGCTATCTATTTTACATATGGTAATGTCTGTTTCCAAGATTATCTTTAACAATGTATATGGTGTTTACGACCACTGTTGTAAGTACATTATAGCTGCCAGCTCATTGAATCTCCAAATGACCCTTGAAGGAAACTCTATTGTGACCCTAGTTCTGCTGATTTGGGACCCATGTGACATGGAAAAAAGCCCACCTGAGAAGCCTCTGGATTCTGTGCTGGGATCTCTCACTGACTGTTTGGAGCATGGAACAGTGACTTAGTTCTAAGCCCTCCATTTTGCCCAGTGGAGAAGTCAGGAGAGGCAGATGATGGAGAGGTACTGCGAGAAGGACTCTGAGCTGTTTGCAGATGAGGGCAGAGCAGAACTGTGGTTACAGGGAGACAGTGGGTCTGCCTGGCAGAGCACCCCGAAGGGCAGATGACCGGGAAGCAGTGGGAGTGAGGGGAGCAGAACCCAGTCAGATGAGAGCCTTGTAGAGAGAAGACACACCCTCATCCCCTACCCCCACCCCCAGACCTGGGCAGGGCACCTTCTGGTGGCTGCAGGAAGGCATCCCAGTCACCTTCCTTTGTGACATCACTTATGGTGAGGGTGCCTGGGCTCTGTGGGCTAACCTCACCTGCCCCAGGCAGTCACCAGGAAGCGTCTGGGTGGATGCGAGGTGAAATACCCGTTGACTCCCAAGGTTAGGATTCGGTTCTCTGCCTGCGGTGGCTCCCCTGTGGTTAATATTGAGATGAGCCGGAGGTCTTTAGCCTTTTGGGTGTCATAGAGCCCCTCCTTGGGATAATACTTTAAATGCATAAAATAAAATATGTAGCGTGACAGTGGGAACAATTGAGATACGAGGATCAGAATTGTTAACATGTGATTTCATAGCATAGGCGCTCCTTTACTGACATGTTAAAGGCCAGGTCAGGCTGTGGGTTGAGGAGCCGCTCTCATCTCCAGCAGAGATGCATGGATGGTAAAAGACAGAGCTTGACCTCTGAGTGCAGGCAGGACTGCACTGACGCTGAGAACGTCTGGGACCACTGGTGGTGATAGGGACTCAGGGGCTGAGAGCACTACTGAGATGTGTTGCTTGCATTCAAACTGGGAGGAAGTTAATTCCAGAAGGAAGCAGGTTAGTGGAAGTAAAGATGTCCCTTTTTTGTATCCATGGTCAGCTCACACCTTCTGTCCCCTGCAGGGACACTTGTGGGCTTCGGGGACACCAGGCTCCCTGGTCTCCTCTCAACTCGCTGCCACTGGCTACTTCCTCCTCATCCCCCTGCCCACCTGACCATGGGTTCCCCAGAGGCCTCTGCACTATCCCCTTTCCTTTCTGAATAAGAGCCTCAGTGTCCATATCAGTAAAATGGGGACAGTAACAGAGCTTTACCTCTGAGTTGTTAGGAAGACTGAGTTAATAGCTGTGAAGCACTTGGCCCAGTGTCAGCGCGTGGTAAGCACAGTATCTTGTTCACAGAGACATCTCTAGAGCAACTTCCTGTGTGACCCCATCCAGGCTTATGATCCAGGCTTATGATCCAACCATAGGTTAAATAGAATCTTTTTGGTTCCACTTCCTCTTACCTCTCTCCCTCTCATCCATCCATTGTTATGAGCATTCCCACCTCCAGAACATTTCCAGATTCCCAGCTTGTATCCATCCCTAGGCTGGTCCTCTGTTGGATCCACATGTTGCATCCAGCTACCCACAGCCTGCCCACCACCTCTGAGCTGGTTTTTTTTTTTTTTTCCTTAATTTTTGGCACAGCTCCCGAGGCATGTGGGACTTTAGTTCCTGGACCAAGGATCAAATCCGTACTCCCTGCATTAGAAGGTGGAGTCTTAAACACGTCTAGTGCTAGGGAAGTCCCTCTGAACTGTTATCTAAGTCAGAGGGTAATCTGACTTATAGTTCATCTGAATCCAAGTCACGTCCCTGGTGTTCAAAGTCCTTCAGTAGTTTTTCATTTAAAACCAAAATCTTCACCGTGGCCTTCAGTCCTACAGGGATCCAACCCCCTCCCCACCCCCCACATCTCTTCTGACAGTGTCCCCTGCTCTATCTGTCTACTCCAGCCGCTGGGCTCCTGGCCAAGCAAGCTCCCACCTCCCAGACCTCATCCTACTGTTCCTTCTGCCTGGAATGCCCCTCCTGCAAGAAGCAGTCACCCATGGACTCTCCTTTCTTCTGTCCCCTCAGCTGGCTGTTATTATTTTTTTTTAATATTAATTTATTTCTTTGGCTGCATTGGGTCTTCATTGCAGCCACCTGTGGAATCTTCATTGCATCTTGCAGGAACCGTCATTTGAGGCTCATGGACTCTCTAGTTGTGGAGTGGGGGCTCTTGGTTCTCCAACCAGGGATTGAACCTGTGTCCCTGTGTTGCAAGGCAGATGCTTAGCCCCTGGACCACCAGGGAAGTCTTTGGCTTTATTTGAATCTGTAGAACTTGTACAGACCAGAAATGGACTCACTGGCTTGCATGTGTCTTCTGCCCCTGGCACTAAAAAGTACGCTGTGTAAGAGCAGAGACTTCGTCTGTGCCCAGTGCTGTTTTTTTCCAACACACAGGATGGTGTCTGGCAGGTAGCATTACTTGGTAAACATTCAGTGAATGGGAAAATGACAGTCACCAGCCCCTTTGAGGTTCTAAACATATTCAAGCATCAGAAGCCTCTTGGAGGAGCAAGACGCCAGGCTCATAAAGCAGTTAGGGGACCTTAGTTCAGTTCAGTTCAGTCGCTCAGTTGTGTCCAACTCTTCACGACCCCATGAACTGCAGCACACGAGGCTTCCCTGTCCTTCACCAACTCCCAGAGCTTGCTCAAACTCGTGTCCATTGAGTCAGTGATGCCATCCAACCATCTCATCCTCTGTCATCCCCTTCTCCTCCTGCCTTCAATCTTTCCCGGCATCAGGGTCTTTTCAAATGAGTCAGCTTTTTGCATCAGGTGGCCAAAGTATTGGAATTTCAGCTTTAGCGTCCATCCTTCTAATGAATATTCAGGACTGATTTCCTTTAGGATGGACTGGTTGGATCTCCTTGCAGTCCAAAGGACTCTCAAGAGTCTTCTCCAACACCACAGTTCAAAAGCATCAATTCTTCAGTGCTCAGCTTTCTTTATGGTCCAACTCTCACATCCATATATGACTACTGGAACAACCATAGCTTTGACTAGATGGACATTTGTTGGCAAAGTAATGTCTCTGCTTTTTAATTTGCTGTCTAGGTTGGTCATAGCTTTTCTTTCAAGGAGAGAGCGTCTTTTAATTTCTTGGCTGCAGTCACCATCTGCAGTGATTTTGGAGCCCAAGAAAATAAAGTCTGGTGCATAAAGAAATAAAATGTTGAAGATGTGGG